AATCTTATAACATATATCAAATAAATATCAAATAACCGTGTTTCAATAGTACATTTATATCTTTTAGTTTTAGGTTAAACTAGTAAGGTAAAACAGTTAATCTTGATCATTTGATGATTCCCACTATCAGTGGGAGCAGCCTACAGCAAATTATACAGTACTTACAATATATTTAGCTCAATAATTCAAAACTGCTAGTTGTCTGAATGGGGTTGTATTTCAAAGACCTAAGCAGCATAATTGACCTTAATGATGTTTAATGATGCTTAATAAACCCCATTAGCAGATTGCACTTGAGGTGTGACATTCACACAGACTGGTGACCAGTTTTGCAGTTTTGTGGTCGATATAGTCACAGTGGTCAGTGAAGTAGGTCTCATTCAGACGTGATAATGAGCACATTACAAAAAACGAATTGTATCTGATTGATTGATCAGTGTATAGTTAGAAATATAAAAAAAAATGTGAAAAATTATATTGACATAGTTTATCTAATTTTATTAAATGGAAAAATATTAATATATAGGCCTAATATATTAAATGTATAATGTACAGAGTACCATTGAAAAGTTTTTACCATTGAAAATGTTTTTAAGCGACCGGCTGTTTAAGAAACAGTTCTTCTTATGCATTCCACAACGTATCAGTTTAGAAGTAGAAGTAAAAGTGAATTGCAGGTGTGCTTGTTAGCGGCCTGCTATGTGGTTTCTATATTGTTCTGGGTGATTGTTTATTTAAAGTGCCCCTATTATGGATAATGAAAGGTTCATATTTTGGTTTTGGGAGTCCCCAACATCAGGTTGACATGCATGCAATGGCAAAAAACACTTTCATTGTCTTATAATATGCATTTATTTTTTACCTTACTTGCTCAATGACTCCCAAACGATTCGCTCAATGATTAATTTTTCCAAACCCCTCCTTTGCCTGACGCTAATCTGCGGTGATTGGTCCGATTGGTCTCATTTTCATTTCATCATGCCTGTAATGCCTGATAAAGCAGCGTTTGTGAGCGCAGTGCTGCTTTGTGTACAGCGTTACCGGGGAAACAGCTATTTTACCGCTCCAAAAGCGGGATCTAGTGGCAAAGAAGGAATTTTAATTTTAATTCAGACCAACGCGAAAAGACCACAAGTGGGCGGGCAATATGCTAATGTTTCATGTTGACGTCAACATGAAACGGCTTGGGATTCGTTTTAAAAACGACTCGTTTCAATGATTCAGAGTCGACTCTTTCTTTTGAGAGACAATAACTTTATACACGGAGTACTTTCAGATTTAAAACTTTGCAGGATGTTTTAATTCACTTAGAGCTGTGGTACACACTGCATGAAAGGTAATTTTCAAAAATTCATAATAGGAGCACTTTAAATGTCACCTTATCTTCAATCTGGATTTTGATTCCGGAAAATGCCTTCAAATTGCTGGAGAGTCTCTTGACCGCAATTCGGAGCAGGAATGTTGGAAAATTTGATAGAGTTGTTGCCGAGGCCAAGTAGAATGTGTGACGTAGCGATGACGTTTGTTGTCGCACGACTGTTTGAATGTGGACGCAGAAGAAGAAAGTGTGTACAGACCAAAAAAAATAATAATAAATCCTCGAAAGGAAAATAACAATAAAATCTTAATAAAAACAAACTAACAAATGACCAGAGAGCTGCAAAAGTTGCAATAATCCGCAAGCTTCGCGATGAACGAGCTGGTGAGTATAGTAGGCTAAATTACAATGGCGTCACGTTGTTTTTACGGGACTGTCCAGAATGTGTGTAAACATAAGCACTCCAGAAAATTAAATCAGTCCCACAAAATCCACCTTATCCATATCTAATAACCTGTGTTACTTACACGAAAGTGATTTCCAATCATGTTATCATGTCAGTACCACAGAGACTTTCAAAGAATACAAATTAGCATTTGTTTGTAGGCCTATCACAATAGTTTAGACTAGTTTGCGCTCACAGATATAATCTAACCAGGTAACCATGAAAATGTTCCAGATTCATTTCTTGAGAATGGATTCTCTGAGCTCTGTGACCTCCAGGCTGCCCTCTCTGTCTTTCTGTAGTGAGAGAGTGAATGAGCAGCGTGCTAGATTTGGCACCTCCGTAGGCCTACTGCAGACGAATGAGTGAAGCTGGCACCTGTGTGTGTCTTTCCATCAAACTCCCACAGAAACTCAACTAAAATATCAGTTCCTCATGCTTATTTTTGCAGTGGAAACATACATGAATGCATTTGTACATTTGGTAAATTGCATGTTACCTGCTTTGACTTTAGTTACTTTTTTACTTGGTATATAAATATTTCACTGTGGTCTGGCAAGACCTAGCAAAGCGAGGCCTTTCACACCCTTGGTATGAAACGTGACAAGCGACAGAGTAGATTTAAACCAAGAAGCACATTGTGCAAGAATAAAACTGTTATTGCACAAGCAAACTCCCATAAAACAATAAATATATATATATATATATATATATATGTGTGTGTGTGTGTATATATATATATATATATATATATATTTTTTTTAGAAGAGTAGCATATTTAGCTTTTAAAAAAAGGCACAGCAATTTATAATCTAGTAAATCTGGTAAAAGAATTATCTAGATTTTTGTTTCACACCTTTGCACAAATAAGTGACCATCACAAGAGGTGTGACTGAGTCACACGTGAGCCCTGACCTTGTTTTTACAAGTGCCTTTCCATGTGCACATACTCAGGAAAGCATGGGAACTTAATCTAAAACCAACATACTGTGGTTTTCTCATTTTCTTTATATTGTGCTGAGAAAGAGCACGAATCACTGACAATCAAAAGTAAAATGATAATGTTTTATATTTTATTTTTATACCATCACAAACCAGAACAAACAAAAAACATAATTTGATCCTTTCTTGTTTAAATTTTTGAACATAAAATATAAAAAGAATAGATTTTAGATTTTAGATTTGACAAAGCTATTAAGACTTACTATGGAGGCCTTTCTGTAGCTTTTAATCAGTGTTGACCTAATAAAATAAAATACATTTGAATAACTTTTTTTGTGGTCAAAAGTGGAAAAAAGAAAGACGTACAACTATTATTTTTTGAGCCATTCCTTCATAATTACTATTCACACGTTTAAAACAGAAAAATAAAATCTAAATCACATAATCTACATATTTTCTCACAGGAAATGAGCATTATACACACTTCACATAAGTCAAATTTAAAAATGTCTATCTTTATACAAACAATGTCATTCTGATGTAGTATGATCATTTTCTAATTAAAAGGCATGACAAACAATAGTTAAAAAGATGGGAATCCGAGAACATAAGAGTTAAAACACAGTGAAAATATAATTATCTAATGTGAAATCAATATATACCACAATATTAACAAATACAACACAACAAAAACTAGCAGATAACGAAAAGCTGATGAAAAGCAGAGATGTCATTTAAAGATTGAACTTACAAAGTTACTATGTGTTTCAATATAAAAAGGGAATTTGATATCAGTACTCACCTCTAAATCATTTTTTTATAATATGTGAACCTTGAGCACTAAACCAGTCTTAAGTCGCTGGGGTATATTTGTAGCAATAGCCAAAAATACATTGTATGGGTCAAAATAGATTTTTCTTTTATGCCAAAAATCATTAGGATATTAAGTAAAGATCATGTTCCATGAAGATATTATGTAAATTTCCTACTGTAAATATATCAAAACTTAATTTCCACCATACATCAATGGAAAGCTTATTTATTCAGCTTTCAGATGATGTATGAATCTCAATTTCGAAAAATTGACCCTTATGACTGGTTTTGTGGTCCAGGGTCACATATATTTCCACATTTTGGATTCCTTACTCAAAATATAGCCACTGTGAACACTTTAAACAAACATATGCTCTACAACTTTAGTTTAAAAGAAGTAATACTATGAAAGTAATACTACGGTACAATGGTTCTAACATGACACCATATCAGCTTGACATGATTCAGCCCTTTAGCTGGCAGTGTTCTGCAGTCCAACATGTGGTCATCCAGTGTCCAGCTGGACCCAACGCTGAGGCCTTGAGGAGTTTGGCTTTTTCACTGAAGAATGACCTCTCGTGTCTCACGCAACTTAAACGCTAGCAGTCCTCCGCACACTAGCGCTGAGAAGGACAGGATGATGGGGATGATCTTGGTGATGCCGATAAACTTGCCAAAGATGAAAGTGCTAATGATAGCTGCCAGTTTACATGTGCCATTCAGCACACCGAAAGCTGTGGCTCTGAGGACACAAACCATGGATGAGTGAGCACAGTGTGGAAGAAGAGTAGCATACATACTTCATAGCTTTATTCAGAGTCAACATCATGTTTACTTTGATGTAAATGTGTTTATGGGGCATAGAGGTTCAGGTTGTTTAATACGTTGCACTGTTATCTACCTGGATTGTTCAGATCATAGTGAAAAAACGTTTGGAAAGTAGATGTGAAAATTATTTAATGAACTTATAGACTGTACAATATATTAAATGGACTGTTCACTTCACAAAATATTAAACAAAAGAGAATTAAAGAATTAACTAAATAAATAATAATAATAATAATAATAGTAATAATAAAAAATAACAAACGGTAAATAGATTAACAAAACATATTGAACATCCTTCTGTCTCTTACAGCCTCAATTTCATAAATAAATCAAATAAATATGATTTATTCTTCATTCTAATAAATGTTTCTAATAAATGCTGTTCTTTTGAAGTTTTTCAGATCAGAATCCTAAAAAAAAATACATCAGTTTTCATAAAAATATTAACCATCACTTTTTTCAATATTGATATAATTAAGAAATGGTTTTTGAGCTCCAAATCATCAAAACATCAAGCATCTTAGAATGATTTCTGAAGCATCATGTGACGCTGAAGACTGAAATTTCAGCTTTTTCAGCATTTTAAAATATATTCAAATAGAAAAACATTATATTAAATTATATGAATATTTCAAAATATTAGAAGTAATACTATGAAAGTAATACTACGGTACAATGGTTCTAACATGACACCATATCAGCTTGACATGATTCAGCCCTTTAGCTGGCAGTGTTCTGCAGTCCAACATGTGGTCATCCAGTGTCCAGCTGGACCCAACGCTGAGGCCTTGAGGAGTTTGGCTTTTTCACTGAAGAATGACCTCTCGTGTCTCACGCAACTTAAACGCTAGCAGTCCTCCGCACACTAGCGCTGAGAAGGACAGGATGATGGGGATGATCTTGGTGATGCCGATAAACTTGCCAAAGATGAAAGTGCTAATGATAGCTGCCAGTTTACATGTGCCATTCAGCACACCGAAAGCTGTGGCTCTGAGGACACAAACCATGGATGAGTGAGCACAGTGTGGAAGAAGAGTAGCATACATACTTCATAGCTTTATTCAGAGTCAACATCATGTTTACTTTGATGTAAATGTGTTTATGGGGCATAGAGGTTCAGGTTGTTTAATACGTTGCACTGTTATCTACCTGGATTGTTCAGATCATAGTGAAAAAACGTTTGGAAAGTAGATGTGAAAATTATTTAATGAACTTATAGACTGTACAATATATTAAATGGACTGTTCACTTCACAAAATATTAAACAAAAGAGAATTAAAGAATTAACTAAATAAATAATAATAATAATAATAATAGTAATAATAAAAAATAACAAACGGTAAATAGATTAACAAAACATATTGAACATCCTTCTGTCTCTTACAGCCTCAATTTCATAAATAAATCAAATAAATATGATTTATTCTTCATTCTAATAAATGTTTCTAATAAATGCTGTTCTTTTGAAGTTTTTCAGATCAGAATCCTAAAAAAAAATACATCAGTTTTCATAAAAATATTAACCATCACTTTTTTCAATATTGATATAATTAAGAAATGGTTTTTGAGCTCCAAATCATCAAAACATCAAGCATCTTAGAATGATTTCTGAAGCATCATGTGACGCTGAAGGCTGAAATTTCAGCTTTGCATCACAGGAATAAATTACATTTTAAAATATATTTAATTAGATTTTTTTTTTTGTATTATTGCAATAATATTTCACAATATTACTGTTTTGACTATATTTTTGATAAAAAAAAATGCAGCCTTGTTGAACATAAGAGGCTTCATTCAAAACATTAAAAAAATCTTTTAAATTGTAGTGTAGTTCAACAAATGCTTTCAAATGTTTTCTCATCTGTCTTGTATGAATTTGAAGTATTAGAGATGTCTTTTGGTGACAGATCTTTTGTACCTTTTCGAGGTTGGATAGAGCTCCACTGTGACGACCTCAATGCCGTTCCAAGCTGCAGCACTGGCTGCGAAGAAGAGGCAGTGGAAGAGGACGACAGCCCACTGACTGAAGCACAGGAGCACGAAGAATGTGCAGCCAGCCGAGCCTAACATGGACCCCCCTGCAAACAAACACACACACAATTCATTTAGATACTATAAACCCATTGAAAGGTATTGACAAATCCATAACAGTTTTGTGTAACCACTCACCTATAATTTTAAGTCGTCCTATTTTATCCATTAATAGGCCTGCTATGATGTTGCCCGGTAATACAGACAAACTGCCCAGGAAGCTGACCAGATAGATCAGGGTGTCATTTTCCTCTTGGATATTTAGATGACAGCCCTTTTTGGGGTGCAGAAATGTTGTATTTTCCAGCTTACAGTTAATGAACTTGGAATCTTCCCACAGGTCTGCAAGAAACGTGACAAAAACATTGTAAAATAACAGTAATCAAAGGAAACCCAAAATAACCATTGAAATATATAATGGGCTCACTGTTAATATATAATATATTAAAAAAATGTACGAATTGAATACCAGTATTGTAGAAGACTGTGTTTTTAAGGGTGCAGTTCTCAAAGAAGGTGTCTGTTGATCTGATGTCCTCAAAATAACAGTTCTCAAAGAGTGATTCCTCAAACTTCACGTTTCTTATTTCTATGTTGATAAACCTGCATGTAAAGTACATCAAAATTGACTGCTCAACCAATACACAAACATTACCATTCAAAAGTTTGGGGTCGGTTTTCATACTTTTTTGCATGCATTAAATCAATCAAATAGTCAAGATATGAAAGTAAAGATATTTATAATAATACAAAAGATATCTATTCATCAAATAATCCAGAAAAAAATACGTGTAACTGTTTTCAACATTGATGATAATAAAAATGTGTCTTGAGCAGCAAATCAGCATATTAGAATGATTTCTGAAGGATCGTGTGACACTTAA